CGCCGCGCTTGAGCCTCTGGAATCGTTTTCGCGAGTGCAGCGCGTAGGGCGCGGCGCCTCTGGCCCTGGAGAGCCGAGGCCTGGAGCCTGTTGGCCGACCCTGCTCACCTGTGAAGCGGTCTTTCACGAAGCGGCGGCTGCTCCCCATCCAGGGGAAATTGAGGCCGCCCAGGCTGGAGACCGTGGGCACCGAGGGCATAGCGGGCAGCGCGCTGGGCAGAGGCGGCGGCACGGCCCCGGGGAGCGGCCTGTGCGCAGGCACCCGGATCACTCCGGCGGGTGCTAGGCTCAGGTTGACACTGTAAGATCCGGCGTCCTCGAACGGGGCGCCGAGACCGGCAAAGGAGGCGGGCAGAGACGGGTATGTGGCGCCCGGGCGGCCCCCGGGGGGCCCTCCCAGGTAGCTGGCGCCGTCGGGGCCCCGCGGGGCGGGTGCGCTGTCCTGGTCCGGGCTGTTGAGGATCTGGTCGATGCCGAAACTGATGGGCTCGTGCGGGTGCGGGGTCTGCGCGCTGGCGGGCGCCTCCATCCTGGGCGGGCGGAAGGGCTGGGCTGGGCTGGGCGGGGAGGCGGCTGGGTCCCCGTTACGGCGCGGCCATGGAGCGCCCGGCGCCTCTCGTCGCACTGAAACTTTGCCAAGAGTGCGCGGGCCCGACAGGCTCTGTGTCATCTTTCTTGAACCGAACCTGGAGTTTCCGCTGCTAATTCCTCTCCCGCCGCAGCCATTGGCTGCGATCAACAAGCCTCTCTCCTCTCATTGGCTCCTGGCTTTCAATAAAGGCCTAATTCATGGAAATAGGAGCTTAGGGACTGTTCCAAGGTGACATCATTTTAACAAACGAACAATAGGTCAAATTTATTAGCCGGGATAATGGGCGGCGGATATTAGCGCCCGAACCGCAGTCTCCCAAACCCGAAATCTAACGAAGCTGCAATTAGCAGACGCTCCCCGCTCCTCCCAGCCCGGCCGCTTCCTGGCCGCCGCGCGGGGCGGGGAGGGCGCTCTGCTTGAGAAATTATCGTTTGCTGAGGGGGTTTTCGTTTTCTTCCAAAAAATTTTTTTTTCATCTGAGCAAAAATCAAACCAAATGAATCCTTTCCGTTACACTGGAATTGCAATCCCGGAACGACACTGCGGAGTCCGCGGAAGCCTCTGGACACTCTACCTCCGCGGGAGCAACGAAAGGGGCGCACCCTGGAGCGCAACCTTCGCGCTCGCTGCGCGCAGGGTGAAGGGAGCACCGTAGCGTGTTCCGCGCTCCCAAGGACACCGACCCGCGTGGGGAGAATTCGCCTCCGCCTGGGCTTCGGCCGCGGCGTCGCGGCCAATTTGGAGACGCTCCCTGGCTCCGGCCTGGCGGACCGAGGCGTGACTCGCAGGTGCCCACGCGTGCCAGGACTGGTTGGGCTAGGGGTCCAGGGTCGCCTGGTGGGGAGCGGGTATCTGGCCCCTCAAATTTCGTTGTAACTTGGATTGTGGACGCGCGTGGGGACCAGCCTGTCGCTTGGCAGGTCTAGGGACCTCGGGGTCTTCAGTGGCAAGGACGAGGGCCGTTTCTGTGTAGAAATAGCGGGATTTCCTTGGGAACCGCGAGCAGCGAGCCCCTCCCAGCTACAGTCCTGTCCGGGCGCTGGGACCATTCCGGCTCTGCTCGCGTCCCTGGAGGGAGTCCACTCCCGCCCAAGGGCTCTGTGGACCGGTCGCAGGCGGAGCAATCACTTCCCACCCCAGCCTGCGGAGACACACAGCATCGTCCCCCACCCCCCGTTAATTTAAAAACCGTTAGGTGCAAACTCTGAGCGCTGCACCCCAGCCGGCTTCTTCCCGTGCTTTCTGTGTGGCGGGCAGTGGTGAGAGCTCGGATGTGCTGTTAGCCAGGAGCGAGTTCTCGTTCGGGTCGGGCCCTCCCTGACTGAGTGACCTTGAGCAAATGACTCCCATTTTTAGGTTTTGGTTTTCTTGTTTGTAAAATGGGAAATAACGCGTGCACTGCGGGACGGCGGAGCGGAAAGGATATGCTGAGCTGAGCGCGCGCAGGGCAGAGGGCCTGGCGCACAGCAGGCGCTGGGCCGCTCGCTCCCAGACCCACTCCCCGCTGATTGGTGATGGATTATGGCCTCGATTCTTGTTTATTTTGTTTGTCGTTTTATTCTATTTGCAGAGGAGGCTCAGTATCTCCGAGATACTGAGAATGTCCCTCCGTGGGGTCGGAGTCAGAGGGCAGACTGGCAGGAGCCGGCAGGGCAGGTCTTTTCCTCTCTGCTCTCAAGCGGAGTGCTCGCATTTGCAAGGTCTCTAGGCTTGGGTCTGAGGTTAGGTCACTGCTGCTGTGTTACCTTGGGGGAGTCGCTGGCCCTCACTGAACCTGTGTGTGGGGTGAGGCCCAGGGCAGTGAAGGGTGAGGGGTGCAGGATGCCTGGAATGGCCTGGCCCTCCCCTCCTCCCTCTGGAGACCAAGGCCCCAGGGGTGGAGTGGTGCCATTGCTGTGGCCCTGGGGACCCCTTCTTCTAATTCTGCCTCTGTCACAGCTGCCTGGGGCTGCGGTCCCTCACTGGCCTTCCCAGAACCTCCTTCTCCTCCTCTGTGAAACAGAAAGGGCAGCAGCTACACGGGTGGCTTTGAGAAGTAACCGAGGTGGCATCTGGAAGGGCCTGTGAGAAGCCCCGTGTATAGTAACTTCCCACAGGAGCAAAGCCACTGTCCTTGAGAACTGAGTGTCTGCAGGTGGGTGGGCCCTTATGTTCCCAACGACAACCCTGAGAAGCAAGGCTGTTATTGACCAGAATTTTTGGCTGATGAGGGAACTGAGGCCCAGTCCAAGTGACTCAGAGCCCCCATGTGGGCTGGAGTTGCCGCCTCACCAGCTCCACTCCCCTTCTGGTTTCCAGAGCCCTAGGTTCCAGACCTGTCTCACCTCTTCCAGTTGCTGTTAAACTGGGATAACAGGGCCCACCGCACAGGTGTGTGGCACGCGACAAAGGGGTGAGTGTAGCCAGCTTTGGTCCCAGGGCTCCTTTAGCAGCCTTGGACTGGGTTTGCCTCCCGGAGCCTCTGGTACCTCCTTTGCTCTAGTAGAAAGCAGTGCAGACCTGGTGGGGGAAGCAAGCCTGCGGTGAATGCGCCCCGTGCCCAGCACAGGCTCCTTCCTCCCCCTCAGTGCCTGGGTCCCCACCTCTGGGGTCCCCCATGGACCTCCTTTTATGCTGTCCAGATAGAAGAGAGCTGCTAGTGGTGCAGGGAGGGGCACAGCCTGGGGCAGTGGTTCTCAAAGTGTGTTCCCTGCCCAGCAGCAGACCACCAGGGAGTCTGTTAGAAATGCAGGTCCCGGGCCCTAGCCCAGGCCTGCCAGTGCTGAGCAGCTGTGCGACCCTCCCTCCAGTGATTCTGATGCATTCTGGGGGCTGGAGCCAGTGTCCAGAATATTGTCATTTTTGTCCAAGTTTCAGATTTATTGTTCCAACCCGGTGGGAGAGTCTCCCCTCCTCGGAAATGCTCCTGTCACCCCAGCCCAGTACTTCCTGCTTTTCACTCGCAGACGTACCATGGCGCTTCCATGGATCATCCCCGCCAAAGCTTTGCCTGGCACTTCGGTCTTTAAAAAGATGCCTTTAATTATCCTGCTTTATGTCGTATCTTCCATGGATGTCTTGGTTTTTATGAACTTCTTTGCTGAGATGAAAATTCAGTTCATTCTGTCAATTTTCCTTTTTTTTTTTTTTGATAGACGCATTCAGGGCCATGTAATTTCCTCTGAGCGCTGTTTTGGCTAAACTCAGCTTCGTGGGTAGTGTTCCTGAGGTGGTGGCTTTTTGCTGCCCCTTCTCACCTGCTATCAACTGAACAAGACACACACACACACACACACACACACACACACACACACTGAGGGGGAGAGAGATTAGGAAACTCCAATTCTAAGAACTGTGACGTGAGGTCAGGACTCCTGGGGGTACAAGACTTCCAGGATGCTCCACAACCCCCACTGCCCCCTGGAAAAGTGGGGGAGCAGGCAGGAGCTGGCAGAGGCTGGGAGTCCTCTGTGAGCGGGTGGGGCGCCCATGGCAGGAAGCTGCACTCTCCACCTGCTCCGTGTGCCTGGAGGCCCAGGTTCCTGCAGGCTCACTCCGCCACTGACTTCTGCGTGACCCGGGACTCAATTTCCCTGTCTGTGAAATGGGGTGAAGCTAAATCAGAGCTTGTGTATGTATTTGGGTCTGGTCTGCTTCCGTAGAGAAAGACTCAAGCACGTAATTTGGGGCAACCCCACATCACCATTCTCCATTCTCATGCTCTAGTTAGGAGTCTGTGGGGGCCTTCGAGTTCTGATGGAAGGCTGTGAAGACATCTGCCCAGATATTTACTAAGCTCCTACCCAGGTTTCTTGGACCACATCCCAACTCTGTGGCTCAGTTCCCCATCCGAGAGGGGGAACTATGGTTTGTACTCTTCCCCGCTGCCTCCTCCCCCCCCCACACACACACGGAGGACTTGGAGAAGAACTTTCCCCAGGAGGTGGGAAAGGGCCAGGACTCCACTACCAGGTGGAAGGCAAAGGCCACCAAGGCTGGGTGCTGTTTGAGACCCTCCTGCAGGCCATGAGGCTTGGAGGCCAGTTAGCTTAGGGGAGTGAAGTCCCTTGTCAAGGGCACACAGCTGGGAAGGGCAGGAGCTGAGATTTGAACCTAGGACTGCCTAGCTTTGTAGTCTTTCTCCTTTACCTCATATCCTTTGGGAACAAGGAGTAGAGTCTAATTGCAGGGCTGAGTGGGGAGGGGACCCAAGGGAAGCTGTGGGTAAAGGAACCCAGGAGGGGCGAGGCCAGTCAAGGTGGGCTCACTTCTGCCTTCCTGCTGGCCTGGGGCAGGATAGGGTTGGTGGCATTTGATTTGAGGTCCTGCATGGACCCAGGGCCTGGCTCCCTAGAAGAGCGGACTCGAGGTAGTGGCACTAGCCTGGCCCAGCTGACAGGGGCGGCTGAGATGATGGCTGCCACAGGCCGAGACCACTTGGGAGGTCCAGGTTCAACTTCTGGTCCACGCTGAGGGCTGGGGACAGTGGCGTGTGCCTGTAATCCCTAGTTTGGGAGGATTGCCAGCTGGGGGCTGGCCTGGGCAACACGGTGAGACCTGTTTAAATTTAAAAACCAGGCATGGTAGCATGCATCTGTGCAACCTTGAGACCCCATCTTACAAAGAGTTTGTGGATCCCACATGGCTGACTGCACCATTTAAGTCCCTGACCCAGTGGCTTGAAAAACACTGGGCACATGTGTATGCCCGAATCCCCAGAAGAGAATGGAGAAAGGATTGTGGCAAGGCCATCCCCCCGGGGGTGCTTTCTAACTCTCTCTCTCTCTTTCTCTCTCTCTTTCCTGTGAGTGCATGCACCCTATGGCAAATTTTAAAAAAGTGTGGTTCTCACCTGAATAGCACATAGAAAGGAGTGGTGAGGAGACAAGGGCCAAGGGGTCAGAATTAGGACCCCCACCCCACCATGGCTGGTGCTTTCACACCCTTTAAGACCCAGT